TTATTACAAACAAATAAAAGTTGGTAATGAAAGCTGATGAACTTGAACTCTGGATAGCTTTGTTAACAACCTGGGACTTACAGTAATTACAGTACAGGGGAACAATTGAATGTTAATTGTCAACAAACATTGCACAATTGTTATAAACCTTTATTAAGCGGACACCCTCCATTTAGTGGACACTTGGGAAGGTCTCCAGGGTGTCCGCTTAATAGAGGTTTCACTGTATTATGTAGTTCCAGAAAATATCCATACCTCCCCCATGGAAGGGATTTTTTCTAACACCTCCCCACCCCTCTGGAAATTCCAGTTAAGCTTCATACATTTCATTAAATTTTTTGATCTCATAGAACCCCCATRCCCGAGGAAATTCCAATCCCTTCTGTGGGGGGAGTGTGGATATTTTCTGGAACCACATATTACATTACTTTATGAAGATTTTGGATTTAGAGATAATCTGGGATCAAGTCTGTGTTTTTGTACGCAGGGCAGTATATAGCACTTTGCACTGTACCCAGCTCTGCTAATCAAAATTAACTCACCTCAAGTCACCCACATAATGTGTTTCCCATGATAAGCGAACTCTTGATCTGTAGAAAAATGAAATTGAAATGGTTCCTGATTAAATTAATTTAAGAGAAAACATGGCCAATAATTGAACAAAAAAATGAACCTTATTTCTTTTTTTGAAAAAAAGTACTGGTACCAGAATTCATTTATAAAATGTTTTGATATATTTTTCTTCAAAATGAAAGGTTCAGTTAACATGTACAGATAATGGTGTAGCAAATTTAGCTTTAAAATATAACTAACCTAGCAAACATATGGATTAAATTGGTCGCTCCCATTATATTGTCTGCTGTCTCAAATGCTGAATTACCTGTAATGAAAAATCAAAAATAATGAAATAATTGACTTCTGATTTTGTATTGTTTAAATTTACTTAGGGTATTAACTAACTAATGCTTGCAGCAAAATAAAGATTGCAAAGAAGTTTAAAAGTTAAATAGAAGTCTTATAATTTTGAAATGCTAACAGTGCAATTGATAAACATAATTTTTCAAAAGACATTCTATTTCTGTCACACCTCTTCCTATGATAAGCACTGATTGTCCCTCGTAGTCATCAGGGTTTGTTGAAACTTCAGAATAACTCTAAGGGATAAAAAAACAAGACATTGCACAATCATATTACAATCTACAGTAGTTTGAAAATAATAATAATTGTTGTTACATGTACATGTAAGGCCACATTTTGATGTTGATTCTAATTTCTGCAGCAGATGTAGGCGCACATTACCTCTGTGTGTTCAAATCCCTTGAACTTTCTTGGCAGATTTTCAACTGATATACCAGTACTAATCAGAGAGAGACGAAGAGTAAATTAAATACCAAGGAAGTTCAATCCTGTTAGAGATCAAACACACTCATGTAGTTATATCTTGTGAGTTGCAAGTTACCAGTAACCTACATGAAGGCACTTCTAGTAAGGCAGGTACAAACGTCAGACCATGTTCAGATAGATTGCTCGGATCAAAAAAATTTAGAAAGTAGTGAAAACAAAGATAGTCTTTTACCAAAAATTCAGACTTAATATACACTAGAAATAATAATTATCGAGTTAAAATTTTCAAGTTATCTTTCCAGAAATGCAGCATGTAATTTCAATATGGTTAAGAAGTAGATAGATGCTCTGGGCGGGTACAAAGCCCATCAGGGAACAAAAAGAGGCCCATAATGACCACCCACAGAGGGCTGCAGGTTTTGAAATGGCTAGCACCTGCATAGCTGGAGATTCACAACAGAATATCTGCCAGGGCTCCAGTAGGTGTCTTGTTGAAAGCACTGAAAGTGGTTCAGTTTATAGCTTAACCAATCCAGATTTGAGAGCTTGATTTGTGAGAAATGGCCAGGATCATGCACCTGGTCAAAGTTTGAAACCTAACTGCAGGGTTTAGAAGGTATAACCATACAGTAATGATCAAGACCTTGCCTACGAACAGTCATTATGCTTAACTTTAATTTGTAGGGTTAATTTGCATAACAGGTTAGGCTGAATAAGACTAAGATAATTTACTGATTGTGAGCATTAAGCCACGACACACTACATCAACGAAAAGTAAACTTTATTTCCATTACCTCATGATAAGATTCTGGCAAGTGTATTGTGTCTCATTTTGATCCTTGAGGTAGAACAGAACTTGCTCGTCTTCACCTTTTCTTGACACATGCAGAATATTGGTGTTGTACTGGACTTTTAATTTAAGTTTGGTGGCATAGTCATTCAAATATTGAACCTAACAATGAAATATGGTTTATATCAGCTACATAAATTCCAGGTACAACTAATGAAGGGAGAAGTTAGTGGGTAAATGATTATTTATGAGCAAGCTCGGGGCTTTACTAAGTATACCAAGAAGGTTTTAGAGGGCTAAATGTAAATTTTATGAACACTGGGTTAAAATGACAACCAGACTTCACAAAAAAGAGCATCACATTGTATCAGCAATCACTATTAAAATGAATTTAGCATCTTCAGTATATAAAGAAAGTCACGTCTAAGCCTTAAGGGCTTTGAGTGGATTTTGTGGTCAAGCTAGTAAATAAATACATTTTGCCCTTCACTAAATTTGCACACTGCACAGGCAAGTGAATTTTTTGGGAAAGGATTTAAGAAAAATTCAAATTACAGATGGGCAGTATTTGAGATCATATTACTTTTCTGATTTCTAATTTTACACTTTTAACCAAGATTTCTAGTCTAGAGAAAATGACTCCCAGGCTATTACGTACTAGTTACAGCTAGTGAGAAGGGCAGGCTGCAAAACTGATTTTCTTTGCACCCTGGAATCTGTCAATAGCAGCCATAAATAATATTTTTTTAGTACTTCAATTAGGAAAAGGGCAATTTGGCCATGTTTTCTGTAACTTTAGTCTGAAACATGGGAAGGGAGACATGTCTTTCTAAAAACAACACCTAACAGCAGAGAATTAATAAAAGACATTGGCAAAATAAACATTAGATAGCAACAAGAGAGCTTTCTGCAGTTGTGCCTATATAAGCTAATTGTCTGCAATTGCTTATGCATATATTTCCATTTGAAAGTTATTTGAAATTAGGTGTCTTTGCTTAGCAAAATAAAGAGCTCACCAGATCATCCGCATCAGGGAAGAATTTTTTGGAATAATGTGTCATTAGAAGAGACTCATCATCACTGAGAAGGGAGTTCCAGTCATGTCGCATGTTAAATTCTTTGTTAGTTTTTCCTGAAAGTGTCAAATAATGAATGTATTTACAAATAAATTAATAGCTGTAAAGAGTACTTGGATCTCTGCACACATTGCAGACCTAGGATTCTAGATCCTTGTCCGAACATACCCTTGAGTTGCATTTAAGTGACACTGTGTATGCATAATGGTTATGTATTATTAAAGAATGCAACACAACCTGGCTTTTATTTTTAGTCTGCTCTATGCAGTAGGAACCTTAACTTAGATGGGAGGGGCTGGTAGGGCTATAACTTTATTACTTTGTTACTACTCCTGATGATATAGACAATGTACAAATTTTCCCACTTAAAATTAACAAAACGGTGAAAATTAGGACCAGCTCTAATGCTTGTTTGTCATGGCCAGTGTTTTTAGCCCTAACCACTTGGTCACTGCAGTCTCAATACAGCTTTGTACCTGATCCGTAATTACTTAAGTGCTCAAATAGAAGGTTGAGAATCTAGCAGTCAAATATATTTGCACACCTGTATGCCTCTTGTTAATGGATATTAACTTCCTATGTCTTGGATACTTCACATAAAATGCCCCTAAATATAAAAAAGCATGAAAATAACTTCAATTACAACAAAACAGATTCTATATTTAAATTCCTAAGAGCGTAACCATTCAGTATTTTGCAAAATACATAATTTTATATGATTTCTAACCGACAGGAATTGTCACATTTCTCAAAAATAAAATCTAAAAGGATTATGTGACATATGAGCACGTGAGGGATTTTAGTAGGGAGAGAGTAGTTTTTACTTGAGTGTCAAAAGTAAATTGCTCTCAAATTGATCTTACATAATACCAAGCTATGCAATTTGCTTAAAAAACTAACACCACATTTTAGTTATCAGTTAGTTTAAAATGTACTACATGCAATTTGCTTGGGCTTTTGATTGGTTCGGTGAATTCTATGCATCCTTTGTAATTGATCAGAGTAATTTCTTATGAGTTTTGGTTTTAAAATAGCCAGTTGAAAACTCTGATAAGTGACTGATATCCAACACTTGCTGGGATGAAAAGATTGACTAAAACGAGGGAACAAATACAAAATAAAAAATAATAACAATAAAAATAGAATGCTAAACTTAATATAAATGGCTCAAGCTTATTTTTGTTTTGGTTCAAGCATCACATATATAAGTCAGGAAAATTTGAAGGAACTCCTTGTCACCTTCCAAACAATAAGGAGTTTAATTTTTTTTTTATCTTTTCTGAAATGCAATGAAAATGTATGCTAATATTTTGTGTACAAAGGAAACTGTCAGGGATACAGAAACAGCAGATGTTCAGCTGGGACAGGTGCTTGAAGAAACAGAGACAACAAAGCTAATAAACAAAAAACATTATCTTGAATATTTCTTAAATTTTAAAAAATCTTTTTTACTGTAAATGTCCTATTCAAGACATCTGAAATGCTCTAGGAAACCAAACTGAACTAAAACTGATCATTAATTCTCATTGGAACATCTGCTTTCCAAAGACAATGACGTTCTGCTGATAACATTATATAATGATCAGGTCCAAACAATTTTGTAATTTCTAAAATAATTTCCAGAAGTGAGAAGGTAACATTTGTTTTGTTTGTCTAAGCCTGAGACAAAATAACATAACATGATCTGCCGCAAAATACCGTCAAATATAACCAAAAATGTTTTTAAATCACAGCATTATGAATGTTTTCAAAATTATGCAAATTTTAAGAGCTATATTTACCTACATGTCACTTTGAACTGACTTCACGACCTTATAAAAGTTATCATCCATAAAAATTAACAGAGTTCCAAGTTTAGTTTCACAGAATCTAGGATGCAAACGAGTTTTTACAGAGAAAAGCTTTTAAGAAAGCAATTAGCTAACTCGACTCTTCGAGTATGAAATTGATACTCATTAGTATCAAACCGCACAGCCACGCTCAGCTGCGAGAAGTCTCACACCTCCAGAAAACAGTCGTCAGCGACCACGGAATCAAACGGTGACTGTGGCTTGTCGCCATTAAAATAAGACATAACGGTGATCCACAAAAGGCTGATCCAAATCGACTTAATGATTCCACATTGAAGGCCCATTGAAAGGGAGCTCCGGGTAACGAGCTCTGTAACATGGAATGCTGTATCAGTACATTGGAATATTTATACGGTATTACACTCTGACTTCCAGCTGACATTTTAAATCTATGGCTTCGAGTCTAAATTGAAAATGCAACATTGATTTCTATACAGTCTATGACATATTCTTTTGCTAATGATCACTAATTGTTCGAGGAGTGAAAGTTGAATATTTTTCATTTTGAACACTGAACTGATAGCGAGCATGAATGTTGTTTAATAAATCATGAACTAAAAGCTTAAAACAGGTCATCAGTGTCGTTTAGTAAGACGTTTTTAACGATGGGCCTCCTCTTTCGTCTTATTCGTACTGTAAATAAGAATGACAAGTTAAAACAATTACGAAGCTTAAAAAGTAACCACGCACTAACACGGCACGCTCACATTTCACATCCGTATGCTGACAACTATAACGCTGAAAGCTACAACAAACCAAGCTGAAAGTGATTAAAACTGCGTTTTAGAGTAGCTCGTATTAACATTAAAACGTGCTTTTAAAAGTAAAGTACCACTATCTTTTGATAAAATACCTGCTAGACCATCTCGTTCGAAGATGATATAATCGCGGGCAGCGCGTTCAAGGTAAAATCCTATTTGAAGGCCTGAGAGAAAGTATTTAAATTTTAGTATCAACAAGTGCATGAATGAGATTTACAAAGCTCTGTAAAATTAACGAACACGATTTAACTTAATAGAATATTAACAACAAGGAGAAACTTCCACTAACATAAATTCTAAAATTACCTACCTCCCGGCCCAGCGCCGACAACACAATACTCGTGGAAAACTTGTCCGGTCGACTTCGCTAACGACACATACGAAACGAAAATTGCTAGTAAGCTGGTTAACCGATTCATCACGCATTGACAAGTCCAGATCAAACGGAGACAGCAAAATAAAGCTGGAGTTTGATATGCTTTCAGTAACTTGTAAACTTACAAAGCGACAAATATTATTGGGTTCACTGAGCCTTGCCTGGCTCACTGGAAATTATTCGTGTTCGCAATATTTACCCAAGATATATATTTAGTTAACACGTTCCTGATTGGTCGCTGAAGGTAAGCCAATTAGATACTAATAAAAAATAAGTACAGGTCATTATAAGGGATGCGCAATATCTACTTCCTACTCCAACGAGTTCCTTCAGCAATTATCGAACCAATACAGTGTTTTTTTCTCGGCATCCTGTAGAACTGAACTGACCAAAGCCCACTCCATGTTCAACCATTAATTGACTGCCTGCCTGGATAATGTTATACTGTACCAAAAATTAAATACTCCCTAAAATCAGTTGCCTAATATTTTTCGTTCTTCGACTGCCTTTTTGCAATTCATGTCAGACTAAACAATTCATTACAGACAAGTTTCTCCGAACAACCGTCTTCATGGACAACAATAGGCCTCAGTGTGGGGCAATTAATTTTTCGCGAAGTACCAGTAGGGAATGACTTCTAAAATTTATTGCTCAGAAAACGCAGCAAATTAAGGTACAAGCTGCCTTGAAAACAAAAAGTTTGATGATAGAGAATACGTTTTGGGGCAGTTTTTTGGAAATTGTAAAGTGAAAGCAAGAAATGTAAATGAACAGTTCAGGTGCTCAAACGGCAAACGGCACAGATGAATTTAGCTGTAATCAGAGGCAATTTTTGCCGTTTGCCGGTTAGATCTCAAACTCCCTATAACCTATTACTATTCTATTAAGACTCCGTTCGCAAAAACAATACCACCATTAAAGCAATAAAGTTTTGCATCAATTTATATACTTTGCTAAATATTTAATACATTATACAGGGTAAAGATGTCGGTACTGAATTCAGTAATGGGTACTACAAGTCACTGAGAGCTACTGAGCGACTGCGTCACACACAGCTGGTTACACCGCCGCCGGTATAAAACCGGGTCAAAACTAAAACGACATTTTTATTGACAGAAACATTAAATGCAAAGCCCCCGGTTGGTTCTGTTTGAAATTATTGCATAAATGCGCTGAAGGTATACGGATTATCTGTATGCCATTTTAGTTTGTATGGTTTGTTTTTTCATTATTTCAATTCTAGCCATGAAATTGTAATAAATAATAAAATAATATAAATAAAAGAGTGATACAATGAGCTACAAATGTACAAGGTTGTGATATTTATTTTAAAAGTCTGGTAGACGTTTTCAAATTAATTCTGCCATGGAAAGTCATGTATAACCTGCTCTCCTCAATAATTTATTTCCTCGTCTTGAACATTTTGTTACCTTGTTAGACAGAGGTCCCCTTCTCTTTTTGTTCGGTCAGAGACGAGAGTGATCTTCTGCTTCCAACTGTTTGAATCCTGGGTCATGCATAAGTTATAAACAGGTTATTTTTTTTGAATTATGCGTCACTCTGTGGTTGTGGTCGACGATCAAGCGGTCCGTCTCCGGCTCACCGAGCAGAGAGGGAATCTCTCGCATCTTGTGTGCGAGCGAAGGTACTCATCCGGTCATAATTTTAAAAGCACTGTTTTCACCAAAGATCGTCTTATTAATGTCTCTATTAATAATATTGCCGTACGGGTAGGGTAAAATTTCTTTTGTTTATAGTGATAATTAAATTGCAGCTGGCATCCCATGATGCCCTGCGCTCCTTGTGTAAAAGCGGGAAGGATGATAAGCCAGCGCCATGTCGGCGTGCAGCCTTTTCAGATTAAAGGGAACCCGTGCTCGGTTTCGTAGCGTTAGTGAAAATAGAGAAGGGCATTTCAGTTCTGCCTACTGGGTAAAGGGATAATAGACAACTCACAGAAAAGAGTATGGCTGGCTTATAAATGGTACAGAAGTCTTCAGTAATGTTTCCCGGTCACAGGAATTACTCCGCTGTTTTTAAGTCAAGGTAGATGATTATTTAAACGCTGACTGGAAGCTAACGTACTTTTTCAAAGACACATATCTTTCTTGCCAACCTAGTCAAAGTAGTGAGGAGACTGTTCAGTTTGTTTGTCGGCTCATGCTGGCAAAGAGCATTTGGGAAGTGGGAGGAATACAAATTTAAAAGCCCGGTCCTCACTTGTGGTCACTCACTTGTGGTGCAAGCAGCCCGGGGTGCAAGCATAAGCAAGCATAAGAAACATAAGCATAAAAACGCTTTATGCTCTATTGGTGACGGCCGGACTTTAATCAGCATAAGCACTAGCATAAGAATATCAAAACCTTGCGTTCTTCTTATGCTGATGCTTTAATATGCTTATGTTGCTGTTGTGTCCAGCATAAGCAGGAGCGAAAGACTTTCAGCCAATCAGCGAGCACTGTTAATGCTTATGCCAACTGTGGCTGCACTGAACATAACACCGACATAAGCTTAAGTATAAGGAAGGACACTCATGCTTATGCTGCAGCTGTCCACTAGCACATAAGCACCTTAATATTCTTATGCTTACATCACAAGTTAGGACTGAGTTTAAGAGACCAGCCATGTTACCAGCCATGTTACTCAACAGACTTGATGTTGAAAATTCATTAATATTTGAAAAAAAGAAGGCTTTAGCAGTATTCATGCTAGAGGACAAGAAACCTGTCTGGATGGGTAACCTGTTTGACGAGTTTTCCATCCTTGTTTGAATTCATGTAAAAGACGCATAACACGTCTAACCTTAAAAAGCTTTATTATGTTCACAAATTCACATCAGCATGGATTAGAGACCATTTAGACCCAATTTGTATTATCCCAAAGTGGTTTGCTTTTGTCCCAGTTGAAGTTCCAGTCCTTTCAGTGAAATTTTCTTCTGAAACCTCACCAGAAAACTGTTCAAGTGTGAATTACTGACAGACCTTGACAGTTTTCACATCTAGTAGGAACCAAACTCACTGACTCAGACAAAACAGCAGGGGGTAAATTTTAGGATGAGTTTCCCATCCCATCAGGATGGGAAAATCATCCTATAGGGAGGGGGGGCATTAATATAATCAACTTGACTTTCTTACAAATTATTCATCCCTCATCAGTGTCGAATATTGTCAGCTGATTTCCCCAATAAGAGTCCCCTGAATATTTAAAGCTCTCCCAGTTATTGAACACCTCAAAAACTTGTGTGGAGGGCTTATAACTGAAGCTTTATGTTATGTGGGAAATATCTCTTGATAATTTGTGTTTGTATTCAACAGTTGATCACTTCCATTCAATCCCTTTATGTTGCACATTACATAATTATGTATACCTTACTCTTTGCATGAACCAGAGGTTTTAAACGTAATGTTAATTAATATGACCATTTAAATATATTGCTTCAGTTATGGAGGAAATACAAAACTTCTCACCCTGAACATAGCATAACATGAAATATAAACTGAGCTCCATGGCTGTGAGATGAAAGTCAAACCTTGATCCTCTCTGTTTACAATCCATATGATACACAATGACAATCATATCATTCTTAGAGAAAAATTTTAATAGTAGGCAATCACTGGGACATTTAGGTCTGGGATGTGAGAGTATTGATGTCGTCTCATTAAGGTTTTAATAACCTACATCCCAGGGCAAACTGAAAAATGTATTATTTAGAAATAATTTAACCTTTACAAGTGAAGTCCACCAACCAAGAAAAATTTTGATTCTTTTCTTTTAATCTAAAGAAGAGACACCACAGGAAGGAGAGTTGCAAACAGTATTCAAGCATCAATTCAAGCCAGTTACATTCTTATTTCCTGGCTTTGCAGTAAAGTATCCTGAGAAAACTTTGGAGTTGGCAACATTGGACCTAGCAAAGGACACAAAACAAAATGAATCTTAAATAACAACTCCATACCCAATGGTTGTGTTGGAAATTGAACTTAAGTTTAATGAAATCTGTGTTGTTGTTAAAAAGAAAAAATTATAATGAATTTTAGAAAATAACTTAAAGAAACAACACTTGCTGACTGGTTTAAAACTGTGTTTCTATAAATTTAACTATTAGATTATGAGCTTGAGGTTTCAATCGCATAGAAATTGAGAGCAAATAATGTAATTGTTTTATTATAAATCTACTAGCCATTCAAAACTTTATCTAAATCCTCTTCACAGACACTTTGAAAACACCAAGAGTCTGCTGTCATTTTGATAACAACTGCACACTGTTAGGCTACTCACTATCTACAACAGAATAGACAGTGAGTAGTGTAGCCAATCGGCAAACGGCATCACAATAGAAACTTAGTAGATTTATATTAAACTCGATAGAAACACAGAACTAACATGAACTGTCATAATGATGGTGTGAGAAAAGGGAATTTACATTTTGATGATCAAAGACAAACTGTTTTCTCTTTTTGCTGTGAAATTTTCTGAAAAGAAATAGAAAACATGTTCCCCATGTTTCTATCGAGTTATAGAAACACTCATGGAGGTTTGGGAGAACTTGAAAAAGCTGTGGAAACACTTGCCTGTCAACTGACATGTTCCCACAGTGTCCCTCATTCTCCCAAACTTCCACTCGTGTTTCTATAACTTGTTAGAAACACGGGACATCTTTTCCATTTCTTAAATAAATTTACAGCAGAGCTGCTAGAGTTTCTTATGAATGTAAGTTCACTTTCTAAAACATTTTAACTCTTCAAAAAATGACAAAGCCAAAATGTAAAAGGGTATGTAATGTAACATGGTATTCAATATGTTCTATTAGTGTCTGACTCTGCAATATTGAAAATAACAGAATTATCTGTACCTTCTATGTAATGTCTACGGCATTTTATTGGCGCTGATTTCCTTGTCATGATAATCTGGAAAACAATAAGAATGATTGCTCTGGGTCTTGTCTGGGTGTGTTATGGCTCGTCAACAACTGCTTACTAATAATATTGCTAAGGAAATACCCTGGGTTTATAGCACAACAAATCATGCAAGATGTTCACGATACTCTAGAAGTGTTTGTAAAGTACAAAGTCGATGGTTAATGACTTACGGTACTCACAAGTGTTCTTATAACAAATATTTAAGGAAACTCTTACAAACAGTATTTAATTGCGTGGCACCCTGGATCATTTTCCTTGTTTAAGGGGGCTTCCTCTAGTAGTTGCTCATTCACATTTTTCATTATAAAGAAATTCAGAAAACACGACCAACCGCTCTTCAATTACGAGTGCAACTGATTGCTCAGGTTACTCGCACATATTTCACGAGACACACTAGTGAGTAGGACTGGTGAAACATGTCCTGCCAGGGAAGAAAAATAATTATTTCCAGCACTGTAGTCCATCTAAAAGGTACCCTTAGCATTAAATTTGTTGAGATCATTTATATACCCAGGCGGAGCCAAGTAAGAAGTTAGAAAAGTGCCTTGGTCACAAGCACAACTCCATTACTTCGGCCAGGGCTTGAGCCGGAGCTGATCAATCCAGTGTCCAGTGCACTAGCCATTAGACTATGTTATGCCATTCAGAAGATCAAGTTTATTAAGATCTACATATCACCTTCACCTATCTGTTTGTGACTAAGTGTTACATAAGGCCTCTGCAAAGCACTTCCATTCTTCTGTCTGCTGCTGCTCTTCATACTTTGGTCTAAGATTTCCAGCTCGCTTTGTTCCTTTCTTTCTCTACTGTACACTTCTAGGTGGTGTTTGGTCTTGCTTTCCTTCTTCTCCCTTGGGGTGCCCCGGTCATTGCTATTTTGCTTGTGTGAGATGGACAAATGTACTTCTAGTTTTCAAAATTCTATTCAGATCTTTTATGCCTCCTCGTCCCTCCTGACAGACCGTTGTTCCCAAGTACTGAACTTGTCTGTCTTCGATATCTTGTCCATCAACTTGATCTTGTCATGTTTTTTTGCATTAACCCTCCTTACCTTGGTCTCTCAGCTATTGATTTGATCCTTAGTTCCACTCTTTATGTCTCCTCCTGTAATCTTGCTATTGTTTTTTCCTGTATCGACCCTTTTGTGGAGGACAGGAGTGCTACATCACTAGCGAAGTCTAGGTCATCAAGTGTTGTTGTGATCTTCCACCTGATGCCATTCTCCATGGCCAGCTGTTCTTCTCATCACCCAGTCCATGACCCCAAGGGGACACTGATACCCGTACCCTATACTAGACCATGATCAGCTTGATTTTGCAACCTCATTCTAGACTAGGCACCAGAAAAACCTTCCCTATCCCGGACTAGCTATTTTTAATTCAGA